GCTAATTGTGTCATTCAAACAATGGTTAAATTTCAGTACACATACGTGTGATATGCAATATCATAATTCCAACAATGCATTTTATGTTGCTTGTATATGAATGTTGTAAACATACACGTCTCTGAGCCCCTGCCGCACCACAGAAACATGTAGATATCCCACACACACACACACACAACTCACACATGTATGCATGCACATATTTTAGCATCAATGTATCACATACTATGGGCCAAATTCCATTTGTCTTATTCCTGGGAACAGACCCATTTAAACCAATGCCATCTGATGGGAGGTGAGCAAGATTTGGTCCTATATATATTAACTGCCACGCTGCAAGACAGGCAGCACTAATAACATTAAGCAAGATGGCACTCAGAGGATGCATGCTGAACACAAAAGAATACAAACATTTTATTATAATTGCAGTAGAGTTATCACCTTGGCATCGTAGTTTAGCCAACACTAATAAGACCATATGAATCGCATTAGTATTGGTATTGTAATACTTTTTTGAATTCTAATTGGTCCTGTGCCTTGGCATAATAAAATAAATCATGACAACCAAGCAGAAGTCCTTTTGGTAACTAAAAAAGGAAGCCCACAACTATCAAACCAAGACTTCTTTCTCAAGGCACAATTTTAAAAACAGACTATAAAATCCACATGTAATATGTAAATGGCATGCCTCCATTCCAATGCTTTTTTACATTAATAATAATTTAGCAGAGCTGCAGCTCATGTCTTCTATATTTCAGAACAGGACATTTGTTTAAGTCTTTTCATAGCAGTTTTAATTGCTATTTTTTAAATATTAAGAGTTTGATATGTTTAAAATATATTTGTAGTCTGATTTTAAAAGTAGATCAAATACTTAAGTCCATGTTGGAATTCTGATGTTTCCTCAAAACAGAGTGTGTGAAAATAGAGATATTTATAAAATGATGTATGTTAAAATCTATTGACACAGTGAATTTGCATTGTCTTTAAGAAAGTTACTGCTTAAAGTTTTTCTTGGTTTTACTCTGCATCCAGTTAAAGCACAGAAAAAATATTGTGACTTACAAACATGAACTCAACTCTTCATCTAGAGAAAAATAAACTACATGATAGTTTGGCAATAGAAGGTGACATGACGTTTTAAAAGCTGCAATCACGGCTATTTCCCCCTTACTCCCACACACACCGAGATCTGGATTTCTTTTACAACAGTAAAAAAAAAGTATAACTGTATTTGCGAAAAAAGATTATAAGCCCCAAGAATGTTGTAAACAGAATGGAAAAAACATTAACAAATCAATGGGCTGCAAAAAACATGCAAACAGCTGACCCATAACTCAGATTACAAATACATTCTGACAGGTGATCATTAAAAGGCTGGTTCACTTTCAGGAGCTTCTGAAAAAAGAATGGCAAGGGATAATCACTTCTTAATTTTGTGTGCATGCATGTGTGTGAGAGAGAGAAAAAAAAACAACACATGTGTGCACAATGGCTTGTTAAAAATATCACAAGAAAATTAGGGGTGTTTTTTCCTCTTGCCAGCTCTAAGTGTTATTTAATTTGGGAGAATGGTATCAATTACTGTTCACTCTAAACTCTGAGGCCCCTTAAAACTGAGGGGAAAAAACACAGTTTCACAAGAACTAGCCCGTGTTAAGGCGAGTAAATGAAAAATCACAGAATAACTTCCCAGCTTGGGCCCAAAACACTGTTCACAGCTTTATATTTTTTAAAATAAGAAATGAATTTTGCCAATTCATGTGATTTTTGCACATTATTTTTCCTCCCTAACTATTGTCATTCTATTTATTTATTTTGCTTCTTTATCAAATGGTTCTGACAATGGCATTACATGCTGCGCATGGCAAGTGATCAACCAAAGGGGAGAGGAGTGGTTTCCTGCTCCCAGCAGCAAAGTTTGCTTTCTGAAATGTTGTACAAGTGTAGGGTCACAATCAAAGTTTAGTAAGAATATGCCACTTTATTTGAAAGCATAAGGCTTCTTATTGCTCCATTTCCACCAAACTGTTGATATGGTGCACCGGGTTCTCATCTCGGACACCAGCATAACTCCATTAGAGATACTAAGGGTCTGATTTAAAGTCCCCTGAACTCAGTGAAAAATTCCCATTGCCATCAAATGGTTTTGAATTAGGCTTATGATCAAAATCCAGCCTTAAGGTGTTTCCTTCTCTGCCTATTGCTTAGGGCAGAATTAGATAAGTTCATGGAGGATAGGTCCATCAATGACTATTAGCCAGGATGGGCAGGGATGCAACCCCACGCTCTGAATATCCCTAGCCTCTTTTTGCCAGAAGCTGGGAGTGGATGACAGGGGATGGATCACTCGATGATTGCCTGTTCTGTTCATTCCCGCTGAAGCACCTGCCATTGGCCAGGGTCGAAAGACAGGGTACTGGGCTAGATGGGCCATGGGTCTGACCCAGTATGGCTGTTCTTCTGTAGATATAAGTCTCATGTAACTCAACTGAAGTCAATAATTACATTCTGGATATACACTAGTGTAACAGATCAGAATCTGATGTAAATTTTTGTGTTTTATTTCTTGCCTGATGTTTAACTATTACTTCTCCGTTTTTTATTGTGTGTGCTTTTTGCCTGGTATGTTACAGGAGTATAGGACATACAATGATACGGACAACATTACAAACAAAGAACCTTCCTCCCGACTATTACCACTGAAATGACAGCTGGGGCCCTGAATTCTCTTCTGTCTTAAAGAATATGGTCCTGTTGACTGTACGAATTCTCTTTTGCACTTTCTCCCTTTTTCTTCCCCTGTTCATTTTACATAGTGGCATCTGTGTATTACTATTTTTACTTCTGTTTGTATTTTTAGCCTGTTAATAGCTAGGTTACCGGTAGGAAAAAGATGACAGGCAATTTTCCATGGAATTCCCACAGATTCTTGACATGATTTAAGCAAAAATTCCTGCAGAGCTGGTTAGCATTTCTCCAGATTATTATTAGAGCTGTCGATTAATCGCAGTTAACTCACACTATTAACTCAAAAAATGAATTGCGATTAAAAAAATAAATCGCAATTAATCACAGTTCTAATCGTACTGTTAAACAAAATAGAATACCAATTGAAATTTATTACATATTTTGGATGTTTTTCTACATATATATTGTATGTAATTATATATTATGTAATTGAAATAAAAGTGTATATTATTTTTATTACAAATATTTGCACTGTAAAAACAAAACAATAGTATTTTTCAATTCACCTCATACAAGTACTGTAGTGCAATCTCTATCGTGAAAGTGTAACTTACAAATGTAGATTTTGTTTGTTACATAACTGCACTCAAAGACAAAACAATGTAAAACTTCAGCACCTACAAGTCCACTCAGTCCTACTTCTTGTTCAGCCAATCGCTAAGAGAAACAAGTTTGTTTACGTTTACAGGAGATAATGCTGCCCACTTCTTATTTACAATGTCACCAGAAAGTGAAACAGGCATTTGCATGGCACTTTTGTAGCTGGCATTGCAAGGTATTTACTTGTCAGGTATGTTAAACATGCGCATGCCCCTTAATGCTTCGGCCACCATTGCAGAGAACATGCTGATGAGGCTCATTAAAACAATAATGTGTTAATTACATTTGTGACTGAACTCCTTGGGGGAGAATTGTATATCCCCTGCTCTATTTTACCTGCATTCTGCCACATGTTTCATCTTATAGCAGTCTCAGATGATGACCCAGCACATGTTGTTCATTTTAAGAACACTTTCACTGCAGATTTCAGTGCAAAGAAGGTACCAATGTGAGCTTTCTAAAGACAGCTACGGCACTCGACCCAAGGTTTAAGAATCTGAAGTGCCTTCCAAAATCTGAGAGGGATGAGGTGTGAAGCATGTTTTCAGACGTCTTAAAAGAGCAACGCTCCAATGCAGAAACTTCAAAACCCAAACCACCAACAAAGAAAATCAACCTTCTGCGGGTGGCATCTCACGCAGATAATAAAAATGAACATCTGTCGGTCCTCACTGCTTTGGACTGTTATTGAGCAGAACCCGTCATCAGCATGGATGCATGTCCTCTGGATTGGTGGCTGAAGCATAAAGGGACATATCCTATCTCCTAGAACTGGAAGGGACCTTGAAAGGTCATCAAGTCCAGCCCCCTGCCTTCACTAGCAGGACCATGTACTGATTTTGCTCCAGATCCCTAAGTGGCCCCCTCAAGGATTGAACTCACAACCCTGGGTCTAGCAGACCAATGCTTAAACCACTGAGCCATCCCTCCCACACCTTTAGCGCATCTGGCACCTAATATCTTGTGATACTGGATACAACAGTGCCTTAAGAACGCCTTTTCTCACTTTCAGGTGACATTATAAACAAGAAGCGAGCAGCATTATCTCCTGCAAATGTAAACAAACTTGTTTGTTTGAGTGATTGGCTGAACAAGAAGTAGGACTCAGTGGACTTGCAGGCTCTAAAATTTTACATTGTTTTATTTTTGAATGCAGTTTGGGTTTTTTTTTTATGTAATTCTACATTTGTAAGTTCAACTTTCATCATAAAGAGACTGCACTACAGTACTTGTATTAGGTGAACTGAAAAAAATACTATTTATTTTGTTTTTTTTGCAGTGCAAACACTTGTAAGCAAAAATAAATATAAAGTGAGCACTGTGCTCTTTGTATTCTATGTTGTAATTGAAATAAAAATATTTGAAAATGTAGAAAACATTCAAAAATATTTAAATAAATGGTATTCTATTATTGTTTAACAGTGCGGTTAATCATGCAATTAATCTTTTTAATCGTGCAATTAGTCATGATTTTTTTTAATCGCTTGACAGTGCTCATTGTTATTATTGGCCCTGCCAATGACTTGCTTCATGTTGGACTTCTCTATGTTGCCAGTGTCAATCACGCAGTCAGAAATAATTATTTACTTTTTTCATTTGTTTGCGTGTCTCATTTGAGAACCTCTAGGGAAGGTCTTATAGATGATTACCTGGTCTGACTGGGCTCTGCATGCAATTTTGAGACACCATGCCCGGATGGATTGATGTAGATGCCCTGCTGCTGAGGTCCATGACAGAGGGTGCTGCTGAGGTAGCTTGCTGGAGATTTGGCTGGTGTGGACTGTGGTCATGTTGGGCTGGGCTGGGAGGAATTCCATTTTCCGAGAGGAATTCTTCCAGGTCCATGTATTCCAACTGGAAAGTGTCTCCATCATATGGCAGCGTCTTGTCCCATAACGTTGGCCCCAAGAAAGCTGACTGGGGGACTGATGCGCTGGTGCTGTCATCATCTAGCTTCTTTTCTTTGTCTTTTTCTTTACCAAATGCTTATAAAAAACACAATAAAGATGTTAAGTGCTGAGTAGTTAAAAATTATTATTTTCAAGAAGATATTTTCCACTTTCTCCTATTGTAAGAACCTAACATCTCATCACATACATTAATCCTTTGATACTTTTCATCTGGCACAGAATTAAAAGGTCGAACCAAATGACCATGAACTGAATGTAGGCATATTTTCATCGGTTCTGTCTATTTTTAGTTAACAATTCAGCAACATTCAGTATGGCTTTAAATAAATGCTCACAGATTTCTTGAGAGTGTTTGTACTAATCAACAAAGCAAGTTAGATGGCAGATGTTGCCAGGTATTTTATTGTGTTTTAAAGGAACAGTTTTCATCTAAAACCCCCAAATACCTTAACATTATTAAATAAAAGGGCCCAATCCTGCAGTCCTTAAACAACAAATCAGCCATTGACCTTAAGTTGTTTTGCTTGCTTTGAGGTGGCAGAATTGGGCCCATAATAAGTAATAACACAGTATATCTGTTGTCTGTAGAATTAAAAATAATGTTAAGCTACTTAATTTTCTGCTGTATATGTTTACAATAATGATTAAAATATTTTGGGATAAATACACTCAGGAGATGTAAAAAACAGGTAAATAAATTAAGAAAAATGCCCAGACTAAAATATTAAGAATCCACTAATTGTAAAACAACATAACAAAGTGCCCTTATCACTCTTACTTAGGAAAATGCTTTAAACACCTATTAAAAATTAACAAGACACAATTATACCATGCATTTTAAGAAGATTTAGCCCCTTGATTTGCTAGAGTCTAAATTATTATAGTTTTTTTCCTAGTTATATTACCATTATGAACAGAATCCACAGATGTTGCAGGAAGTGTGTATGTTTTCCAAGTAACACACATTTTTGTAATAAACACACTTGATAAAATCCTATTATGATTGAATTATCTTATTATCCCCCAAAAGTACAAGTTGCAACTTTTCAGCTTTAAAATTCTTATTAGTTACCATTCACCCAAATACATTTTACACATGTTCATTAAAAAAAAAGGGTGCAAAGTCAGGCAGTAAAATTGCCACAAAACCAAAAAAAAATAAAAAAAAAATGCTCAAACTTCAGTCACCCAGAATATATACTCGTTTCTGGAAGGAAATTTTGAAGCTGTGCTGTCTGCTCCTTCCTAATAAGTCCGTCTTCATTCAGTACAGATGAAATGTATTTATTTTCTGAAGACATGCCGTTTAGTGCCCATCGCCTAACTAGAAAGTGATTGCTATGCATTGATTCAAAAGAAAGACAGTTGTCTTTCATTACTTATTGAGCATGTTTATCATTCGTATCATACTGTCTTTATCTCAAGAATAAAAGTATTCGAATCTTGCAAAAGCTAAATTTTCCTGGGGTTCACAGCTGAACAGTAGGCAGGTTATATTTGCTTTTCTAACTCTGCAGAACTCCCAAGGGAAATTTATTGAACAGCTGAAAGAGTGGAATTCTGCACTGGAAACGCCGCGGTTTGGCACTAGCATCCTGGCATGCATGCACTTGGGACTCTAGGGTGACCAGATGTCCTGAGTCTATAGGGACAGTCCCGATTTTGGGGTCTTTTTCTTATATAGGCTCCTATTACCCCCCATCCCCGTCCCGATTTTTCACACTTGCTGTCTGGCCACCCTACTTGGGACTAACGCGTTACACTATTGCGTTGCCTTTCACATTCATTCGCCTCGCACCTCCCCAAAAAATTATATAGAAGCAACTTTCTACGCCTCACCGTCTTCGTGATTTAGCGGCAGCTTGAGAGGGTTTTCCAGCAGGGATTTCAGCACCCCGTAAGTCGGAGGTAGGAAAGTGGGGTTCAAAGGGAGAGGTCGAGCCATTTTCTCTATCGCTTAAAATAAAATAATAATAATAAAAAAAAACAAGCTCTAGAAATCCTCAGCGAAGCTGGAGCCGGGGAGAGGTGTCACAGCTCGTTCGCTCAGTCCTGGCCGGAGCTACCCCAGCCTCGGCTGCGCTGGCCCCTTTCCCAACACACCGACCCAAGCACCACAACAAAACAGGCAGCTGATGCCTCCGCCCCGCCCCACACCGCTCAGCTCAGCTCAGTCGCGCGGCCATGTGCAGACACTGACGTCCAAGCCCCGCCCCCGGACAGGCCTGCGGGGGGAGGAGCTGCCGGCTCAGTCCCCACGGCTACAGTGACCATGAAACTGCGTTTCCGCTCGGCCCCGCGGTGCATGGTCCACGCGTGTGCGCGCGCCAGCGGGGGCTGACTCTGTTAGGAGTCGCCCAGTTCTGCTCCGGGGGACGCCAGGAGTCAATTCCCCGCTTGCCGGGGCTGCAGACGCGAGAGCGCCATGGGGCAGCAACAATGTTGCCTCTTAGAGTGACCAGACAGCAACTGTGACAAATCAGGACGGGGTAGGGGGGTATTAGGCTTCTATATAAGAAAAAGCCTCAACGATCAGGACTGTCCCTATAAAATCAGGACATCTGGGCACCCTATGGCCTCCAGACCCCACCATCAATGTATTACTTAGTGACTCTCGCCATTGATCCCAGGCCTGCCTTGGCGGGTTTCAAGCGGTGCTCAGTTAGTTTCCGCAGTAACCAGGTGTGACCTATCCTGATGCACCAAAGCAGCACCTGGAACAAAAAAAAACTTTCACACGCGCACAGAAGCTTAAATGCAAATATCAACATTGCAATGGGACTAATCAGACAAGGGTGAGAGGATTATTTAGGTTCCTAGCCGATGAGGTGTTGACACCTTCCTTCCCCAAGCTTCCACTGCACTTAAGGAGAAAAATATATAGTATTGTCAATGTCAACCCCAAGCATCCAAAAATCATGAGTCAGGCCACCAAAAATACCCAAACAAAAACAACAGTAGGCTTAACATTTATGAGCTTAAAAATACATTTTGGATTCTCTTCAGTTGTCTAGGTTTTTGTTAGGGTCCATTTTTTTCAAGCTTTTCTGTGCAACACAAAAGGAAAAACAGCAAATATTGCAGGACTCAGGAGACCTGGAAACACTGAAAAGATAAGTGAAAGCATCTGGAGCAGTTGCAGATGAGATCAGCTCATAGCTGGGACAGAACAGAATGCTGCTGGTTTGGAAGCAGGTGATTCCTTTTGTCATTAATTATTCCTACCTGGGAACATTCCTGTATCTGTTGGTTCACACTCCACCAGGGCTTCAAGGTGCCATGAGTACTCCTGTTCTTTTTGCGGATACATGGCTGCTACTCTGAAACTCCTTGTTGGGGAAGTTGAAGAACCGAGTATATCTAGCTCTTGGCAGTTGCCAGTATAAAGCACTTTTGAATTCTGCCTGTGCAGCTAAGCGAGTCCCTCTCTCTACCCCAAAGTCAGTAACAAACATAAAAGTTCTTGTTTGTAACAAAGTTTAGGTCAATGGACCAAAAGACATTTTTACAGTGAACACCCTCCCACCCCCCAAAAAAAATATTTTTTGCCCTGGGGCCTCATTTTAATGACACATGAGAATACTAGGTGAGGTGTGGGTGAAGTGACATATTTATCTAGTCTATTTATGAAGCACCCAAATCATTCTGGTATCTAGGTACTAACCATGGTATCTAGCTTCACAGTTTCACACTACAGCTTTTTTATTTTGTAGCTTTCGTGTAATTAAAGATGAAAGAAACCTAACAGATCTTTTAGTTCATCTTGCTGCCAGTAAAGGATTGCTCCTTCCAGCACATACCGTGGAAGACTATTCCACAGATTTCACCATTAGGAAGCGTTCTTGATCTCCTGTCTATATTTTCCTGGTGGGGCTTTTCCATCTTTAATTTCTGTGACCCTACTCTCAGTTACATACCCTTTTTTTTTTTTTTGGTCCACATAGGTTTTCATCCCTCATCACTGGATCAGAGCACTTACTATGTTTGCCCCTTTTAAACAGTTCCACTCCACCCTTGGTGTTTATATTCTTCAAATACCTGTAATCACTTATATCTTTTACTTCTCATCCTGGTTGGTTATCACTTAGACAAGTTGTACTTTCCCTCATTTAGCTCTATTAAACTTTCCTCAGACTCAGTCCCTTAATTATTTCACATTTGTTATATACCTAAAAAAAGAAAAAATATATTTTCCCTGATCTATTCATTTCTTTACAAAGATTTACACATCGCATTTTCATAACCTCTTTGCTTTTGAATGGCCATTATTTAAAAAACCTATTAAATGGGTGTCTATCTATTATTCTAGGCACTTTGATGGGTATTTATACAAACAGTCCAGCTAAAATTAGCAGTAACCCACAAGCGCTCAATAAATCTCAACCTTGACCCAAGAGTATGAGAGCGTTGGCCTAGACAAAACCTAGGGATTTAAAGTGATCATCTGGTGTTTCAGAGAAAGAGAAAGTGTAGCATTAACATAATTAAGGAAAACAATTAAAAAGAGGAAATGACAGAACCATGACATAGCACAAAGCCACGGTTTGAGATTAGAGATGTTTTAAGGAGTAACATGATAATAGCAGCATAGCATATTACAGGCCACCCAACAAGATAGAACGACTGGATTATTAAATGAGTGCACACATGGCACTAGTGCGTAAAATGGCCAAATTGCTAGTTACTGGAGACTTTAATTACACATGTACAGAGTAAACGGCATTAAGAGAAGGAAAATGATTGGCAGTGTTGCATGCATATCTGGTACAGGAATGATTTTCTATTCAATATGTGCATAAATAAGAAAGGGAACCTTTATGAGGTTTGGTATTAAGTAACAATGAGGATAAACAGAAATATAAGATGCAAAGGTAATGGAGAATCTGGGAACCACCAATAACAAACAATATTCATTTGGAATTTGGATATAAAAGCTCAAGAAGGAAGAGAAAAACTATTGAACTTTGTTATGGTTATTATCCACCTATAATATACTCAGTAAAATCTGATGAAATAGGATATTGAATTAAATATAGTAAGACCCAAGCTTGTCTCTTTGATTATTTGACACCATGAAGCATGAAAAACTCCTAGGAACAAATTGTGTCTAGACCTGCATAAGTGTAGGACAAAGAGTAGCAACAAATCGGTCCAGGAGCCATGTATAATCCCAGTCTTTGAATTCCCAGCATGCAGGGACTGGAAATTAACTCAAAGGGACAGGGGAAGGGAAAAGTCATTCCCTCCCATCTATGGACTCGCCAGCAGAGCTGGGCCAGCATCCAGGAAAAACATGTTGCACAAGTATGTAGCACTTCGTCCAGTACTTCCAGATAAATAATCTTCTCCCCTCTCCTAGGATATGTCTACACTCCAAGCGAGGGGTGCAATTCCAAGCTCGCATAGATATACTTGTGCTAGCTCTCCTCTGAGCTAGCATGCTATAAATAGTAGTGAAGCCACAGTACCACGGGCAGCAGTGGCACGGGCTAGTCGCTCCAAATATATACCCCTGCGGTTCAGGTGGGTTTGTACTCGGGGTGGCTAACCCAGGCTGCCACTGCCCGTGCTACTCTTTTTAGTGTGCTAGCTCAGATGAGAGCTAGTGAGAATATGGCCACACGAGCCAGGCATCACAGCCCTAGCTCAGAGTGTAGATGTATCTTAACAAAGGTAATAACTTAAAGCAACAGTTCTGCCACAAAGGTTATTTATATCGCACAGACAGCCTCCTTACACTGGCAAATCACTGAGATGCTTTTCAGCATTATTCAGTAAGGGTCATAGGTACACAGAAGTTGCCACATGCTTACCGGCTATAGTTCATCTCTAGTCAGACTATATCCTAGTTCCAACAGTGGTTGTTGCCAGATGCGGCATAGGAAGCTTTAAAACTAATTATAGCTGGATTTCTGCATTCTACATACAGTCAAAAGGCAGCTTGTTTTGAATATTTATTCCTACCAGATTCACCAAGAGAAAAAAACTTATTTGTATATAATGACAAAAGACCACAGCAGATCACTATTTTTCCATATAGAAAACTTTTTATTTGCTTCCCAGGTAAAAATTAACTCAGTTAGTGAATGTTTAAGTTCCTCTTCCAGGTGTTTTCATCACAAAATCTTGGGTCAGCATAGAAGTGTTCAAGGATGCTATTTTTCAAACGGAGTCCAGCCAAGTTAGTATAAATCCATATTTTTTGAGGCCCTGCTTTCTGATAACTCTTTCCCTTCTCTCAGCTGGGTGATTTGAAAAATTAAACACATGAAGCTTTCCACTTCTTCCGAAGAGCCCATCTATACTACACGTCTGACCATACCAGTTCACACCTAAGACATGGCCAGGTTTTAACCTAAGGTTTTCTTTTGCATTGAGGTGGGACAACAGCTATAGACCTATCTTGAGGACTAATGACCTAAGTTATAACACAGTCCTGCAACTCCCAACCACTATACCAACATATCAGAACACAGATTATTTTACTTGTGCTAGACAAGGCCCCGTACAAGTGTTAATGTAAATGGGCTCTAATAAATCTGTAGCTGTTTTAAAATCTTGCAAACCACATTATCCTCTTTCCGTGGACTAAAGGCTGCAGTATGAACAGGATTTTAAATGTAGACATTTCCAGTTCCACAGTTTTTGGTCCAAAGTTTGATTCTGTTCACCTTTCTCCCCATATTCCTCATAGTGGAAATGCCCTCTGTTATTTCCTCTTCTTGCTGTATCTGTCTGCTGCCTCTGTCACCATTAATTCATGGTAAGAACAGGAGCAATCAGAAACAGGCGATAGTCTCGTCAGCTTCTACCATGTGGGATATAGCTGTGGTGCAAAGAACAGCATATGTGAAGATATTACTGAAGTATTAAGTATTATGCACGATCATATTAGGATTGGTAATGGGCCTTACTTTTATTATCATCAGAGACAAATCCTAAAGGGATGTAGCCTCTTTGCAGGTCAAATGGCACCCCGATCAATCTCTAGCTAGGTCCTGAGTCTGAACAGTAAGACCATCTTAGGTCTGTCATTGCCAATCTTATTGTGTCACCAACGTTTTTCATGACTATGACATTTTGATAGGCCTCTTACAAAAGCTATGGGAAGAAGAAAAAAAAAACCAAATGAGTGGGAAAAGGGTCATATAGTGAATCTGCCAAA